ATCCAACGCACCAGAACAGCGCGAAGCCCGTGCGCAATCGATCGACACAAACGCCTCTCCGCCTCCCGGCCCGCTCGCCGGCGCAGGCGCGCGCCGACCTGCCCCCGGAGGCGCAGAAGGTGTCTGCCTTCCCGGAGGTGGTGACCATGGAGTTGACGCCCGAGGACGAGTTCCTGCTGCTCGGAGGGGGCGTGGGGGGACGATCGCCGTGGGGGGGGTCGCCGTGGTCCGAGATGTTTCCCGCGGTCGGGCTCTCTAGGGGCCCTCCACGGACCCGGGGACTGTCAGAGAACTTCTCTCAGGATGAATCATTCGTCTTGTGGGGAGGCCCCGGGGTCCAGGACCCGTTTCTCACAGGACCCGCTTCCCCCATGCTAAGGAGAGGGGCCCAGACCTGCTCGAGTAACGAAACGATCATGGCTGGGGAAGGGTCCGAGACCTCAGGGGGTCGATGGTGCGAGCAACAAACGTCGGGGGTCTGGGCACGGACGTCCATACGGAGGAGGGCCCAGTCGACCAGAGAAGGAAAGGATACCGATACCGCTACCCATTCCTCGTCTAATGGCCCATGTCTCCGAGCGTTGTGGCCAGAGCTCTGCCAAGGTATCGGACCATGTGTTCCTCCAGCGGTTGTGGAAACCCTTCGGGGAACACGCGGGGGGGAATAAGAAGCGCAGGAGGGGCAGGACAATTAAGAGGAGAAGAAGGAGGAGGAGGAGGAGGAGGATATAGAGAATCAAGGGGAGGCGGAGGAGGCTGAGGAGGAGGAGGAGGAGGAGGAGGAGGGGACATCTTGTGAGCCTCTGGGGGTACTCTAGGGGCCTTCTGGGAGCTTCCTGGGAGCCTTCTAGAGACATCTTGGGCCGCATTGGGCCTCTTGAGACCTTTGTGGGCTTCTTGGGGGCCTCTTGGCCTCAGGGCGTTCCTTGCCCGTCTGACGCCGTCGGAAGCCGTCTTGGGGGCCTCTCTGGACCGACCTGGGGCCCACTTGGGTCGTTTCAGGGCCGCCGTCTTGGAGGTCACCATGGGCGTCTTGGGGGCCTCTTGGGCCGTCATTGGGCCGTCTTGGAGGCTTCTTGGGCTGCCTTGGGGTCATCATGGAGGCATTTGGGGCGATCTCGGGCCCTCCTGGGCCGACTCGGGCCGTCGGAGCACCGAAAAGAAACGAATGCCACAGCTTGTCTAAAACCTAAGAATAATCAATGAATTTGGCCTCTTCGGTCCTTTTGGTGGCCTCTTGGGCCGCCTTGGCCCGTCTTGGAGGCTTCTTGGGCGGATCTGGAGGTATCATGGACATGATGTGGCCGTCTTGGAGGCGATCTCGGACCTTCTCAGGGGGAACTTGGAGGCCATCTTGCCCTCTTGGAGGTTATCTTGAACCGTCTCGAAGAATTCGTTCCGAACGTTTAGGTTGTTTGCGGTCCCTTCCAGGTGGCCGGCGCGGTGGGAAAATGCACCACAACCAAGCGCCGTGTAGGATTCAGCACACCGGGCTTCCCTGTGATAAAGCAACAGGCGGCGGCGGATCGAAGACGCCTACGACGTATCGCCGCCGCCCCCTTCCTTTGGAATTGCCCATGTCTCCGAGCGTTGTGGCCAGAGCTCTGCCAAGGTATCGGACCATGTGTTCCCCCAGCGGTTGTGCAAACCCTTCGGGGAATACGCGGGTGAGGATGGCGGGGAAGATCAGGAGGCGAACGAGGAGGAGGAGGAGGAGGAGGTGGAGAAGGAGAAGCAAGGGGAGGCGGACATCTTGGGAGCCTCTGAGGGCACTCTAGGGGCCTCATGGGAGCTTCCTGGGAGCCTTTTGGAGGCATCTTGGGGGCCGCATTGGGCCTCTTGAAACCTTTGGGGGCTTCGCTGGGGCCTCTTTGCCCGTCTTAGGGCGTTCCTGGCCAGGCAGACGCCGTCGGAAGCCGTCGTGGGGGCCTCTCTGGGCCGACTTGGGGCCCTCCCCCTTGAGGTGTTCCAGGGCCGTCTTGGGGGCCGTCTTGGGGGCCCTCTTGGGGGCCTCTTCGGGCCCTCCTTGAGGCCTTCTTGGGGGCCTCTTGGGCCTTCTTGGATGTAGCTTGGGTTCTGATGTTCCAGCTTATGTTTAGCGTGGACGACGAGAGAGACTGTTGAGCGCCAAGGAAGTACCGACATTTAAGCGTTTCCACGTGTCGGACTCTGGGAGGCGATACTCGTTCGACACTTCACCAGCGTGTCGGGAACACACACACACACACTGTGTCGATATTTTCTGAGTGCTCGAAGAGAAGACGGGAAGAACATAAATCTTGGGCCGTCTTGAAGGTCTCTTGGACAGACTTGGAGGCATCTCGGACCCTCTTGGGCCGTCTTTGTGGCCATATTGGACCGTTTGGGGGAATTTGTCTTAGACGTGGAGGTGTTTTCTGGTCCCTTCTGGGTGGCCGTCGGGATCGGCCGAAGCCCTAGGGGGAGTTATTTGTTTTCTTGGAAAAGAGCCGAAACAAACGTATAGGATTCAGCACGCCAGGCACCAGTGTGGCATGCCAACAGTGAGCGGCGGATCGAATGGCCTTCGGCCTATCCCGCCACCGTGCCTGTTTTACGGGTGAGAGACCTCAGGGATGTTTCTTGGGGTCTTCTGGGAGCGCCCCCGGGGGCCACTTGGGTGCAGTTTGGGGGCTTCTCGGGAGCCTCTGGGGGGCATCTTGGGCGCCTCTTGGAGGCGCCTCGGACTCCTGCCTCGAACGTATCACAGGCGAGGCCAGGGGAGAGGCAGTACATCGGCATCGTCCGGCTCCTCCCCCCGTCAGCGCAACGTCGGCCCTTGCTGGCGCTTGGCCTCGCCCTGCGCTGGGCCTCGCGGGAGGCTGCGCGTGACACCGGCCCGTGCTGGACCCTGGGAGGATGCTCAGACTTGGCATCGCTCGGACGTGTGTATTTTCTTCCGGCGAGGACGCACGAAGCCGAAAAATGCACGGGAAATGGACGTCCGAGCGAGGGCAAGCAGAGGGGGCGTACCCCGAGTTTCTTGACAAGCGTCGGGGGGGCGTCACCCCCGCCGGCAGCCCCACATCGACCCCCGTCGCGGGCAGCCACCGCGCGCCGAAGGCGCTCCGACCCCCGTCGCGGCGCGATGGCGAGGCGAGGTTGCCCCCCGTCGGGGGGGGACCCCCCCATGCTGATCAGGAAACCCAGATTAACTACCCGATCCCTAGCAAACAGTTCCCTTCCGTGGCGCCCCATTCGTCTCGCCCAACGCGGCGCGTGTCTGCGGCCAGCGGGAGGCCTGGAGGGCGAGGGTGACGTCACGGAGAGTGCTGGTCACGGCAAAGGGCGGTCAGCCCGCGCCCGAGGAGCTTGGCATCGCTCGGACATGTGCACTTGTTCCCGGCGGGGGATTCTCGAGGATCATCCTGGGTCATCCTGCAACCACGCACGAAGCCGACAAAAAGCACAGGGAAATGGACGTCCGAGCGCTGCCCAGAGGAGGGGGCGCGGGAGAGAGCGGCGGCTCTCGTGTCCGGAGCAGGACCAGGTCGAGACGGCGTCGGCCCGCCCCGGCTCGTTTCTAGCGCACGTGTCGTTACGTCGGGCATGCCCCTCTACAGGGGGAATGCTCCAGATTTCGTAATAAAAGGGAGGGGGGTCTCATTTCGGGGGGGGGTCTCTTCCAGGCTATCTTGGAGGGCCTGGGGGGGTCTGGGGACGATGTTTTGGAGGGTTCTCCCACGGGGGGGGGTCTGAAATGGCTTGTCTTGGAGGGTCCAGACCCCCTCCCTTTTATTACGAAATCTGGAGTACTCAAAAATGGGCAAGAAGAAATAGTCAGGGGACGACTTTCTACACTATGTTTGACCGTTTGGTACATGTTTGACTCTCGCCAATGTTGTCTGCCCAGATCCGCCCGTAGGGGGACATGCCCAGACTACGTCTTCTGTCGGCCTCGCGGAGGCTTCTCGTCTTCGCGGCCCGAGCCGCCCCCGAGAAGGGGCCGTGCTGGACCCCGGGAGAATTGAGTTCTTGGCAGCTCTTCGGGGAGCCGGGCCGAGGAGCAGCATTCTCAAGCAGTGGCGAAGCGGCTGGGCTCGCCTATAGCCCTACCAAATAGTGTTCCAAGAACTTGTTTGTGGTTCCCACGGAATGTTCTTAGAACATTTCTAGGGGAGTCTGTCATGCTTTAACCCATAGGGCTTAAGTTCTAAGAACCTCTTGTTTTTGTTACGAGAGCGTGTTTGGGCTCTAAGAGCATTTCGTGGTAGGACTATAGAAATGCCGGGACGGTCGGTCCCTGCTCAGCATTCGAGGAAGCGCAGACGCGGATATAGGCGCGCGGACTGGAGGCGGCTCCCGTCTCCGCAGGGGCATCGGTGCGCGCCGTCGGCAAAAGTCGGGCGGCATGGCCTCCACGTTTTTCCGCGGGTGCCTTGCCAATCCGTGGGCTTGGCTTGGTACATTTGCAGAGGAAAGACCATTGTTTTCGGATGCAACTCCTGGGAGGTCAAATTCTGATTCAGCCCTGGTCCGAAATCCTGGCGAATTCCGCTTCATCCCGCTTAATCTGGCTTAATCCCGCTTGATCCGAGGCCCACTCTGGCGTAAGAGCCCCCCAATGAGGCTTGATCTGCCTTCATCCTTCCGGCAAACACCTCCCAGTAGTTGCCTCCTAAACTATTCCCAAGGTGTTCGCCCTCCGAACTTAGTTCCCCCCCCCACAGGGACACGTAGGGATACTCCAGATTTCGTAATAAAAGGGAGGGGGTCTGGACCCTCCAAGACAAGCCATTTCAGACCACCCCCGTGGGAGAACCCTCCAAAACATCGTCCCCAGACCCCCCAGGCCCTCCAAGATAGCCTGGAAGAGACCCCCCCCGAAAGGAGACCCCCCTCCCTTTATTACGAACTCTGGAGTACTCTCCTTCCTTCCCATGGAGGGTGAACAGGAGAGCGGGGGGCCGCGATCGGAGGGGGGGTCGACTGCGTGAGGGAGGCTGCGACGGGGTCTTCGAGCTGCAGACGAACCAGAGCGCGGTCGACCTGGTCAGGAGCTCGCTGCAGTCAGGAGGGGAGGTCCGGAGGAGGAGAAGGAGCCCATATCACAGGCCTAGAGATTGACACCAACACCAATATCGGCGGTGTGCCTCCACCGAGGGAAAAAGATCCCGATCTCGGCGATGGTGGTAATATTCTGGCTTCCAAGGTGGCCGAAGAACATTACCACCAACACCGAAATCCAGGATCATTTTCCCACTGTGGAGGCAAACCCCCTGTGTTGGTGTTGGTGCCCATTTCCAGGCCTCCAAACATACCGCTACCCTTCCTCCGTTTTCCCTTTTTGGGGTCTTCTGGGAGGCCCTCGTCGCCACGGCTGGACTCGCCCCGAAAATCTGGTCATGGAGCACCCCGGGAGAGGTAGTTGATTGCCCACGCAGGGGACGAGGCACATCCAGAGAGAATGGTGGTCAGGTGCTATCGTGAATTTGTCCCTCTCCTCAAATTTGCCTTTGACGTGAAACTTCGTTGCTTGTACTACGCAGTGCAAGTTTGCCAGCCATCTTGCGACTGAGCGGCTCGGTCATTTCAACAAGCAAGTTTAGTAAGTTGGCGGACGAACAACAGTATATTATGTTTTTCCGCCAACAGGTACGCAGACCCCAGGGTGGTTGTTAAACGTATATTTGAATGCATTCATGTGCATATGTCTGTGTGCTCAGCTCAGATGCAAGGAACCTGCACGGAGCGTCAAAAGTTTACGTGCATGCGTTTGATTATGCCTCTAATCGTAACGTGTTGTGCTGGCGGCCCGCGTCAGCCTCCGCGTAAGTTACCATCTCGCGTAAGCCGGCGGCAAGCGAGGGGGCGGGCCGGCGGGAGGAGGAAAAAGGCCCTCTCAGAAGGCGGCGGGGCTTCTCAGAAGCCCGCCTGCTTCTGAGGAGTTTTCTGCGTCTTCGGGGCAGGGGTAGACAACTTCTCAGAAGGACGGGGGACTTCCGAACCTTCCGAGAAGGCTTTCTGCTTCTCGTTTCCCCCTTCGTTCGCCGCCGAGTAAGCGAGTGAGACTCAGGATGGGACAAAAACACACAGTCACAAGTAATCGTCGATCCCAGAAAAGTTTAGGAAAATTCGGGAAGTGGGAGGGAAGACGAGAACCCTGAACATGTAAGAGAACATTGGGAATCCTGGAATTAGTGTCTATTTACTTGTGTTTGCCTGGGCCCCTTCACAGGTGGCTGAAGCAGCGGTCGTGGGTTGTGCAAGGCGCCGGGCCCTGGCCGTCAGGGCCTCCCGTGGCCCGCCCCGGGCGCCGCACGACCCAGCGGGCGGCGACGCGCGCGCGTGGGCGCGCGCTTCTCGCCATGAAGGCAGCCCGTAGGATCATCGAGAATATAAGAACCCCTACAGCTACCCGTCGGTCGTTGAGAGTAGGTATTCTCAGGATTTTCGGATTCCGATCCAATTATCGAGTGGCTTCACCTTTTCCCTCCCCGTCAGGGGGCGGGCGGAAGCCGAATCTTTTTCCAACGCCTTCTACTTCATGTATGGCCTTCGGCCCATCCCGCCAGCGTGACTGGGTTGTGGGTATGAAGCCTACCGGACGTTCTTTGGGATCTCGCAGGAGGCCTCTCGGGGGCCTCTTGGAGGCCGTTCTGAAACGTCTCTGGGGCCGTTTTGGTCTTTTTTGGGGGGGCTTCTTGGGCTTTCTCAGGGGTCTCTTGGGGGCCTCTTGGGGCCTCCTGGGGGCCTCTTGGGGCGGAAGCCTTTTTTTTCGGTTCGCGTTCCCTTGAGCCGTCTTGGGGCGCTCTTAGGCCGTCTTGGGGCCCTCCTGGGGGCCTCTTGGGCCGTCTTGGGGCGGTTTGAAGACTTCGTGGGCAGTCTTGGAGCGCCGGGAGCTTGAAAGGTCGAAGACCCCACAATCATTGAAACATTATGAAACGTCAAGGAATGTGTCCTCTCGGCGCCCTCCTGGGAAGACTCTTAAGGCTCTCTTGGCGCGTCTTGGAGACCTCTTGGGCCGTCGTGTGGCCATCTTGAGAGTCTCAGGTGCGATTGTTGGACGTCTTGGGTCCCGTCCGGGTCCCTGAAAGACTCCCCAGGTGTGCGTAAGGGATTCGGCAGAGGACCTGAGGACGCCCATTCCGTGCCCAGCGGCACGCCGGCGGATAACACAATGGGGACGTAGCCGCACTTAGGTCCCCGTCTTTGCATTAGGGGCAGCAGATCTAAGCGGTCTGGAATGCTCTTGGTCTTCCTGCTTGTAGGTCCCCTCCCAAAGGGTTTGAGTTTCTGTTGGCCAGTCGTAAGAGTGACCCTAGGCAAGAGTAGCCTCTGGAGCGCGCTTCGCCTCGAAATTCTAGTCAGAACGCACCCCGGGGGAGGTCGAGGGAGTAGCGGTATCGGTACCTTTCGGTTTCCCCATTTAGATGCATGGTCGAAGGCGGACATTGGGTCTGGTACGATTTGTTTTGATTCCGCGTGTTGGTCGTGCTTCGTCCTTGGCTGGACCTGGGCTTGTCTGGCCCGGTGGCGCTTCGATCGGACTCCATTGCCCTGAATCGTTGTTACGATGACCCCAGCAATTGCTTGCCAAATGATCCTACTTGTTGGTGTTCGGTCATGCACCCCTCATGACCGCAGCCGGCCAGCTTTCGCGCCGAAGCTGCAGGAAACCGCCGAAGATTGCTGGAAACGGACGAAGACCGATAGAAGACCGCCGAAGAGCCCCGAAGACCGTCCGAAGATCGCCAAAGACCGCCGACGACGGCCCAGGATCGATAGGTCACAAGGGGTTCATGGTCTAACACCTAGCGCCTCATCCCCCCTCCCTCCTCCCTTCTCCGTCTAACACGTACCGCCTTCCCTCCACCGCGAAGCGCCTTCGGGTCAGCTCACCCGAGTCGGATTTTCCGCTCGCGCAGGTGTTCCCCCCCCCCCCTCCCCCTCCTCCCTCATCTTCCTCCCTCCTACGTCCTTTTCCTTTCCCTCCTCCGCAGTCCTCCTCCCTTGTCCCTCCCTCCTGCCCTCCTCCCCCGCCTCCTGCGCCCTTCTCCGCCGCGTGCCCTCCTCGCTTCCTCCTGCGCCCTCCTCCTCCCCCTCCTCTGCCATCCCTCCCCCCCCCTTCCCTCCCTCCCCCCCTCCTCCCCCTCCGCCTGCGCCCCTCCTCCTCGATGCACCCTCCTCCCCCCTCCGCGCCCTTCTCCTCCCCCCTCCCCCTCCTCCCCCTCCCTCCCTCCCGCGCCCTTCTCCTCCCCCTCCCTCCCTCCCTCCCTCCCTCCCTCCCGCGCCCTTCTCCTCCCCCTCCCTGCCGCCCCTCCCTCGTCCTCCCCTCTCGCTCCCCCGCGGGCGCCGGGAGGCAGAGCTGCCAGCGAGGCGGTGGAGGACCCCGCCGCCGGGGCGCCAGGGTGAAGTCGGGCCTGCCCCCCTCTACAGGGGGAATGTTCAATTTTCCCAGTGCGACCCTACCTAGGAATTGGAGCCCCTAGGAAAGCAGCATTAGTAGTAACGGTAAAGCTAAGCTAAAGCTAAGCTAAAGCTACAGTTGAGCTAAAGCTATGCTAAAGCTAAGCTAAAGCTAAGCTGAAGTTAAGCTAACGCTAAGCTAACGCTAAGCTAAAGCTAAGCTAAAGCTAAGCTAAAGCTAAGCTACATCTAAGCTAAAGTTAAGCTACAGCTACAGCTAAGCTAAATTCAACATAGAGCTAAGCTACAGCTAAGCTAAATGTGATGCTAAAGCTAAAGCTAAAGCTAAAGCTACAGCTAAAGCGAACGTTAAAGCTAAAGCTCAAGCTAAAGCTAAGCTAAAGCTAAAGCTAATGATAATGCTAATGTTAAAGCTAAAGCTAAGGCTAAGGCTACAGCTAAAGCGAATGCTAAAGCTAAAGCTGAAGCTGAAGCTAAAGCTAAAGCTAAAGCTAGGGGACGTAACTGGGGGAACCGCGGGGCGGATACTGGGGGAACCGCCCGGGGCGGGCCCCACTGCCCGGTCCTTGAAGTTTCCGAGTAAGAACCCTTCTAGGCAGAGCCTAGGTAGGGAAAAAGAGTAAAACATAGTATGGGTATTAGTTTTTGTTCGCCTATTTTATACTTCTGGGATATGTTTAGAATACTTTTTTATTTTCCGTCGAGCATCCCCTCTGTCGGGGGGCACGCCCGACTTAACGCCAGGGGCGGGGGGGGCGAGGGGCGGCAGGGTGCGCGGAGGGGCCCCGCCCGCCACGGGCAGAGCCGAGCGGCCGCGCTCGGGCAGCGCCACACTCGAGCACGCCAGAGCTCGGGCTTGCCGACGCTTTTAAGGCGGGCCTGTCCCCCTGCAGAGGGGACGTTCGAGGAAAAAATTTGAAAATACCCCCAAAGTAAGCAAACAAATAGTACGAAAATAGTCTGGGGACTATTTTTTTGTATGTTTTGACCTTTTTGGTTCATGTTTGGTGCATCTTTCGTCGAAGATCCCCCTGTAGGGGGACACGCCCGACTTAGCGCTTTTTTGACAAGCGCGTCCTGGATTTTGACGGTCCAGGTCTCGTGGGATGTTTTCGGGCCGAACGAAAGGGGGGGGGATAGGGAATGGGGGGGTACGAAATCTGCTGCGTGCAGCTGGTTTCGGCCACGCCGCGAGGCCCATTCCTCGACACATGGCCGCCTCCGGCGCCGGGAGGCGCCGGGAAAATCAGCTACGTGAGCTGATTCTCAACCCCCCCTTTGCTATCCCCCCCTTTCGCCCAGCCCGATTTCTAGACGAGCGCGTCCTGGATTTTGACGGTCCAGTTTTCGTGGGATGTTTGCAGCGGGAGCTCGCGTCAAGTTGCAGATTGGGTCTCGTCATTTTCATGGTGGCCTCGTCGGGACAGCCGGAGTGCCCCGAACCCGAGTCTTTTACGTCTCCCCGACACGCGCAGGAGGAGGCAGGATTAAGTCGTGCATTTGTCGAACAACAAAAAACGGCATTGTTTGCGCTCCGCGCGGATTTCTTGGATTTGCGCTGGGCCCCCCCCGGCGTCGCCTCCGGCGCCAGGGAGGGGGGGTCCAGCGCAGATCCGAGCCGAGAAATCTGCGCGGAGCGCCGATCGCAGTGGAACGGAGACCCCCAACCGGGAAATCGTTTCGTTTCGTTCGTGTCGTGCGTGCGGGCAAGGCGAAGCTGCGCGGGCGCGCGAGAGGAATGAACCCGCCGTTGCTAGGGCGAAGTCAAGACAAACGATTCTCCCCCTCCCGCCCACCCGTCCGGCGGTGGCTCGCGGTGCCCCGCGGTGTCCCGTGGTGTGACGTGGTGTCCCGTGGTGTCCGCCGTTGCTAGGGTGAAGTCAAGACAAAAGATGTTCCCCCTCCCGCCCGTCCGGCGGTGGCTCGCGGTGTCCTGCGGTGTCCCGTGATGTCCCATGGTGTCCCGTGGTGTCCGCCGTTGCTAGGGCGAAGTTAAGACAAATGATTCTCCCCCGCCCGCCCGTCCGTCCGTCCGTCCGTCCGTCCGGACGTGAACGGTGTCCCGCAGTGTCCCGTGGTGTCCCGTGGTGTTCTGTGGTGCCCCGTTAAGTGAGACCGATGTTGACATCGATACTGAGATCGATATTGAGATCGATACTGAGATCGACGTGGTGCCCCGAGGTGTCCCGTGGTGTCCCGTGGTGTCCCGCGGTGTCCCGTTGAGTGAGATCGATAGTGAGATCGATAGTGAGATCGATGTGGTGCCCCGAGGTGTCCCGTGGTGTCCGAAAAAGTGAGATCGATAGTGAGATCGATAGTGAGATCGACAGGTGTCCCGTGGTGTCCCGTGGTGTCCTGTTAAGTGAGATCGACAGTAAGATCGATAGTAAGATCGATGTGGTGTCCCGAGGTGTCCCGTGGTGTGCCGTGGTGTCGGATGGTGTCCCGTTGAGTCAGATCGATAGTGAGATCGATAGTGAGATCGAGAGGTGTCCCGCGGCGTACGGTGGTGTCCCGTGGTGGTCAGCGGTGTTCCGTGGTATCCCGTTGAGTGAGATCGATAGTGAGATCGACAAGTGTCCCGTGGTGTCCCGTGGTGTCCCGTGGTGTCCCGTTGAGTGAGATCGATGGGGAGATTGATTGAGCCAGATGTTGCTTCCCCCTCCCCTCCCACAACCTCCTTATCACCCGAAGGGTGGTCGTATAGGTATATGTATGCAGTTTGTTCTTGTTTTATTGGAAGCACCCTGCTTCTTAGAATGCGCAGGCCTTGTATTTAATTTTTTCGCTCACTCTGCTGGGGCCATGTCGCATCACGGCGGCTGAACGGTGGTTTGCTCGCACCCTTCGGGAACGGTCGGGCAGGCAGGACTGTCCTCGAGGAGATCTTTTGAGATGTTGCTCGCACCCTGTCGCAGAAAATTGACAGAGGAGGCCAATATGGTTCACCAGAGCTTCAGCAGAGTTTCGAGACGTACCTGGGTTGTGGGTCAGAGTCATCATGGATGCTTCTTGGGGTGTCTTCGGAGGGCTCTCGGGAGCCTCTGTGGAGCAGTCTTGAGGCCTCTGTGGAGCCTCTTGGGGGCCTCGTCGTAGTCTCTTGGGGCTTCCTGGGGGCCTGTTCGGGATCTTGGGAGCCTATATCCCAACCATCCTGGTGTTGGGCCCTCGTTTTGAAGAGACAGCACCCCGCGTCACTCTCCTCCTCCCCCTCCCTCCCCTTCCTCCTCCGATCCCTGCCTCTGCCTTCCGAACCAGTCAACCATTTTGGTACACCCATCACATGTTTCGTGGCCCAATAGGAAGCCCCACCGAAGCCCAAAATGCCAGCGCTCGCATGCGGCAACCGCACACATTTTGGCACACCCCTCACACCTTTCGTGGCTCCATAGGGAGCCCCACCGAAGGCGCAAGTGCCAGCGTTCGCATGCGGCCACCGAACCCATTTCGGCACAACCCTCACACGCTTCGTGGCTCCACAGGGAGCCCCACCGAAGGCCCAAATGCCAGCGTTCGCATGCGGCCACCGCACCCATTTTGGCACACCCGTCACACGTTTCGTGGTCCCACAGAAAGCCTCACCGAAGGCCCAAATGCCAGCGTTCGCATGCGCCCACCGCGCCCATTTTGGCACACCCCTCACACGTTTGGTAGTCCCATAGAGAGCTCCCCCGAATGCTGTGCATGCAGCGACGGTGTTCACAACTGTGTATGGTTGGGTCCTTCGCCAGGCTAATTTGGTGCCTCTTGGGGCCTCTTGGGGTGCTCTTGGAGGGCTCCTGGGGGGCTCCAGGGGCTTCCGGGGCGCCTCTTGGGGCCGAGAGCTCGAAATGTCTGCTGGGGTTCCCCCTGCCCCCTAAGGGGGGCCATCCTGGGGCCGTCTCGGAGGCCTCTTGGGCCGTCTTTGGGCCATCTGTTGTAGCGGCGGTTTGGAGCGGTCTTGGGGCCTGAGCTTCTTGGGCCGTTTTGGGACCAACGCGGGCCATCATCATGGAACGCTCTTGGCGTGAGGCCGTGGGGCGTGCCACCCTTTTGGCGCGTTCGTGGGGGCCCCGAGGCGGCGACCCGGAGTTCTGGCATCTCTGACCCGTTTTTGCCAGAACCTTGTTGAGGTGTAATTCGTCCCCGGACCCCCAGGGGCCGCCACGCAAGCGCGAATTCGAATCATTTCCTTAATTCTTACCAGAGATTTTAGCACGACTCTGGCCCGTTGGGCCGGCGGGTAGATGTGGGGCCGGCGCTTTGTAAGAAGCAGTCTCTTTCTAGTCAGCCGTCCCCCCTCTCCCTACAACCCTCCACGAGACGCAAGTTTTCCCAACCCCCGCGCCCCCAATTTCAATGTTCACTTGCGCGCGCGGCGCGATCCGCGGACGCCGACGGACAAACATCAAGTCGCGTTTTGCGGCGTCAACATTGAATATTGGGGGCCTGGGGGTGCCGACGCGGCGCGGGAAAATTTGCGTTAAGTTTCGCGGAGGGACGTACACCCTTGGGCGCACCATCACTCGAGGCGAGGAGAAGAAGGAGGAGGAGGAGGAGGAGGAGGAGGAGGAAAATGAGGACGTTAGCCCTGCCCCGGGCCTTTGGCCCGTCAAGAGACTGCTCTCGACATGGTCGCTGATGATTTCTACGGAAGGCCGACGTCGATCCCGACGGTCCCCCCTTGCTTTTGGTATGCACCATCACTTGTCCTATGTGTGTCGGAATCGCGTTTCGCTGGTTCGTGTGTCTCCAGGGCCCCCTGTCGTAGTTTTTCTGCTGGACCAGCCCCAGCTGGCACTGCGGAACATGCGACGAGAGAGAGAGAGAGAGAGAGAGAGAAAACAACAACAAAACAATAAGGGGAAGCGAGGAGGGGCGGGCCTTCTCAGAAGACTCGGGTGACGGGCCGGTTCTCCACCACCACTACAATATGTAGGAGAGGGAGGAGGAGGAGGAGAAGGGGAGGAAAGGAGGAG